AGGGAATTTTGAAAGCATGAAAGTTTCATAAACATGAGAAAATCTGCATCCATCAAGTGAAGTGATGTAATGGCGACTCTGAAAGGTGATGGTAACTCAGATTCTTGTTAATAGATTCCTTGGGGCAAATGAAATGACACTGAATGGCCAATGTTTATACATACACATATATGTATAATGCAACTTTGTTTTAGAACAATTTGGTTGCAAAGGAAAGGAGGGAGCCCTTTTGGTTATTATCTGTAGAAATGAAACAATATCAAAGTATAAAGGAATCACTTAAGAAAATATATAAGGAAAAGAAGAGAAAGAAAGGATGAGAAGATTGTAGAGAGGAAACATATCACCACCAATGGATCCAGTGACAGGAACAGATTGTTGCAATTTCACTTAGTTGAAGTGATGGTTGGAGATCTGATCCATCAGGGGTTCGGGAAGACCATGGAACACAGATTTCAATGGATTCAGTACATTCAGGTGGGGACACCCAGGTACCTCCCCTGGGGAAGTTTTACACTGTTGATCATATGCTGTGGTCTGGTGGAAGGCCCCAGAAATGAGTCCGGGGGCGCTTTGGGGTCTTTGATGGGTTGTGACATCTCCAAAGCCATGACAGCTGCCTCTCACGCCAGCGTAATTGAGCCAGTTCTGCCCCACAGGAAGGGATGAACATCTTCAGGCCCAGGTGTGAACACAAGTGTCCTGATAGCTCCCCTGGGAGTGGAGATCTACAGCTGGCCCAGCTGTGCAGGGGAGGACATTGGCATGATAAAAAGCATTATCCCACCTCAGCAGCACCTGCTTCTCACTGGCCTTTTCCCTTATCTGGCTCAAACCCAGCTCGTTAAACAAAGGTCAGTGTGTTGTGGTCATCCTCTGGTGGTGGGTGCCCACCTTCCCTGCTCCTGGGCTGCTCTTATGCAGATCAGAGGATTCCCAAACCTCTCCTCCTGCCCTTCGGTCCAGGGGTGCAAACCTGGCCTCAGCAAAGCCCCTGTAGCTTTTCCAAATGGGCAACTGCTTGAGCCATTAACCATCAATGTTTCAGTCTCTCACAAGGGGAAGACCTTGTCAGAGATGATATGGAAAAGGCTGAAGTAGTCAACATTCCTTTTGCCTCAGTCTTTATAGGCAAAGCCTGCACCCAGACCTCTGCTTGTACCAGTGATGGTTGGGAAGGAGAGGGATAAGTAGGAGCAGGGCCAGCACCTGCTGAGAGATGTTGGATGTACTCAAACACACAGAGCCAGATGGGTTACACTCAAGGTTGCTAAGAGACACAGCTGACATGCTTGTCAGGCAATAGTCTCCAACTGACTGGGAAAAGACACGTGCTCATTTTTAAGGGAGACAAAAAGCACTGCTTACATCCAGCCAGCACCATCTCAGTATCCGGAAAAAAGCTCAGAGCTTGTCCCCTTAGCTGGATGAAAGCTAAGAATGTAATCAGGAAGATGTGACTCAGATTTACCAAGGGCAGATTACATTTGATAAATCTGAACAGCTATCAGAATAAAAGGTCACACAGCTAAGGAGACAGGATGCAACACACCTTGAGTGTCCTGTGTCTCCTGGCACCAGCCCCTGAAGCACACACACATTAGTAAGCCAAGGCCAGATGGATGTTTGGAGTGGCTGAAAACTTGTCTGGGTAGACAGAATTGAAGACTTGATGGCTTTAAGTTGCTTCACTTGTTGGCTAGAATAGTAAAGAGTACCCTGGGGCTGATACAGGTCAACATATTTATCACTAATTTGGATGATGAGACAGAAGATGTCCCAGTTCATAGCATGGTGACTGAACTGGGATCTTTGAGGTCCCCTCTGGGCCATTCTATCATCAGCAAACTTGTGGATGATGCTATGTTAGAATAGTAGAGGTCCCCTTCAAAGGGGAACTGAGAAACTGCAGGGCTGGAAAGCAAAAATCTCATTACAAAGGTATACACCTGGGACTGGCTTAATCCAGTGTGAACAACTGTCCTGCTCCAAGCAATAATTCTGACTGGATGATGCTCAGAAGTGCCTTCCAGCCAACATATCTGCCATTTTAAATGTTCAAACAATATTCATATATGAAAAATCAAACACTGTGCATTCCCTTTCTAGGGGTAAAGAAAAGGTTCTGGGTGGAGAATTTTGTAAACTTTAATTAAGCCTGTTTGTTCACAAGTTTATTTAAGAGTACATTAATCCCTCACACTTCCAAGCACCCTACATAGTACATCTCTAAAGAGTAAAGAAAGTGGAGGACACTCATATGCACTGCAGTGGAAATATGGTGTGAAGCTTCAAAACTGCACATTCAAACAGCTATGACAGAGAAAGATAAACTGACATGCACAACATTCAAGGTTAGTCAGAACTACTCTTCAAGTGTAGGAACAGGTTCATAGAGAGCCAAGAGATATATCTCATTCCTTGTAAATCTGCCTTTATTTTTTCCTAAAATGGATTAGCATTACTCTCTATCATATATCATCACCTATCAAATTATATTTATTCCCATAATACAGTCCATTGCTTCTTTAAAGCATTAATATTTTACTTTTATTTAAATATCTTTCTATGCATTCTTTTAAGGCAAGTAATTTATTTTCAAAATGTTTTTCATTTTGAATCCCTTGAATTGGCACTGATCCAGCTTGCTGATAACTAATCAGGCCTATACTCTCTAGGATTTCACTAATACCTGCATTGGCTGGTTACTTAGTAATCTGTCCTGTTTATAGTCTTGTGTGAATGAAGGCAGAGGTTCCACATATTAGGCTGCTCAGAAACGGAATACGTTTACAGTCACTATTCAAAATGCCTGTTTTCAAGCATAAGAAATACTTCCTGCAGCTTTTAACTGTCCATAATTTTTAGTAGTTTTTCAGCATTTAATTCCACAGCAGCAGCTTGCAACTTTTAAAAATGGAATTATTTATAAGTCTTTTACCCTCAGAGAGCAAAATTACTTCAAATTTTTTTTCCGCAGCATCACAGAGTACTTAAAGCGTACTTAAGTGTTTAAACAAAACACTTTAGTACTTTCTACCTCAAATATATAGATGCTATTGATAACAGAAGTATTAACAATCTCAAAATATTTTAGGACAACAAAATACACATCTAATGAAGTCTCATTCCTCTACCTTGGCATATTACCTGTAAATCCAGAGTGCTCAAAGATCAGTTTCTCAAATTCATGAGATCACTTTATGATCTGAAATCTTTCACATGGTTAAAGACATCTACGTGCACATCATGGTTATAGACATCTAAATCTCCAACCAATATGAAGTTCACTATCAATACATAATATTGGAAACAAAAGAAATGTCAGCCTAATTTTATAGTCACAGCTGAAAGACCCTATTGATACAACTACTTTAAGGCTGAGTCTCCTAAATTAGAAATAACTCTTGAACCGTAGTTCAAGAAATTTGCTCCATTTATATTATCATCACTTTCCAATCGTGAAAAATGCAATAAAAATCATTTGCCATTTTTACTCTGCAACCAATGAATTCCAAAATGTCTTTTAATGAGCCCTGGTTCTCCTCTACCACATACAAGCGTGACTCACGCCTTTACAAAACGTGAACAGCTTTTCCCCCATCTGTCACCTCTGCGATTTTTTCACTCATCCAGCTCTTTGGCAATTCCCTGCCCTTCATGAAGTGCTGTGCTTCAGCTTCCCAGGCTCCTGTCAGTTGGGATGTTCTCCCTTTATTCTCATCTTACCAAGCCGGCGCAGGAATAGCCACTCCAAGTACCCTTTTTTTTTAACAGAGGTTGGAAGGGACCACAGAGGGTCACATGGTCCAGCCTCCCTGCTCAAGCAGAGCCATTTGAGAGCACATGGCACAAGACTGCATCCAGATGGGCCTGGAGTATCTCCACTGAGACAGACTCCAGTACCTCTGGGCAATCTGTTCCACTGCCTGGTCACTCACACAGAAGTCAGGTCTTCCTCATATTCAGGTGGAGCTTCCTGTGCATCAATTTCTGTCCACTGCCTTTTGTCCTAGTGGCTGGCACCCCAAGAAGAGCCTGGCTCCACCCTCTTGACACCCCCCCTTTACATATTTGCATATTTTTTTTAAACCTTTGCTCCACGGAGTGAAACAAGCACTACTTTTTCATGACTTCTTCCTCTCTTCACTTAAAGCCAATGAGCCATCCATTCTCCATCCCCTCTGATCCACCGGCCCTGGGTTAGTATCTCTTGAGATATATGTCTGCATCTCTTCTTTCCCCCAGTCCCACAGCACTAATCCCACATCATTAGCTGAAGGGAGAACTACTTTTAGTTCACCCGCGTCACATTTAAGTGCAAATTACTAGGTAGGTTAATGCAAGAGAGTGCAGAGGGGGTCAGCAAGGGTACTTAAGCAGCACAGGAAGTCTTTTTTCGAAAGCTATCTCTCGGTAAAACAGTCCTTTAGACAAAAGTTTTTCCTTCCTGAAAAACTAATCACAGAAAACGAAGTTTTTCCCAGGACTGAGGGGAACACGATGAGCGCTGGGAGGAGGGCGGTGGGCTGGGGAAGAGGAGCCGGCAGCCTATGCCCAGCTGGGACGAGGCGGCACTGAGGCGGCCAAGGGGCAGGGGAAGCACATGACTAAGGGGCAGGGACAAGGCCAAAGGGCAGGGAAGGGGCAAGGGACAAGAACAAGGTCGCGGCAGTGCCCGGCCGTTCCTCCGCAGCCCCTGGGATCTCCGGGCAGGAGATCAGGGCTGGAACCGGCAGCGCCACCAGCCGCAGAGGGCGGCCCGGCCACCGCTTCCGACCGGCGTGCGGGGCTCCCGCCGTGAGGAAAGGGCGAGCCGGGACGACTCAAACGCGCTGACCGTCAGCCCTCCGCCCCTCACCCCCCTGTCCCCCCAGCTCCCTCCTCCCCACCCGAACCCTCCCCGGGGTTCCACGGTCCCGGGCTCCCCCGGCCCGCTCCCCACCTCCCCTACCCGCCGCCGCATCACGTCACGGAGAGCTCCGCCCGCGTGCCCCGTCAGGCGCCGCCTCTTCCCGTCCGCCCCGTCCCGGCTCCCGCCGCTTCCCGGCGGCATGGCGGTGTTCCACGACGAGGTGGAGATCGAAGACTTCGAGTACGACGAGGAGACCGAGACCTACAGCTACCCGTGCCCCTGCGGGGACCGGTTCCTCATCACGCGGGTGAGGGGCGGCCGGGCAGGGCTGGGGGGGAGAATGGCGTGGTGCGGCCCGTGGGCCGGCTGGCGGCGGGGCCCTGACCGCTCTTCCGGGGCTTTTGCAGGAGGACCTGGAGAACGGGGAGGACGTGGCCACCTGCCCCAGCTGCTCCCTGATCCTGCGCGTCATTTACGACCAGGTGGGTGCGGAGGGAGGGCAGTCGGACGCGGTTCCAGCCGGGTCCCTCCGAGTCCCGGCTCGCCGCCCCGTGCGGGAAGCGCGGGACGGTGTTTAAAAATTCCTGTTTTGGGACTACATTTGCTGCCTGATCTCTCGTTTTTCTTGTCTCCTGCTGCCGTGTTTGGGCTTAGAAAGATGCCTACCTGGGTGGGCGTGGGGTAGGACAGGCGGGACGAAATCAGGGATGTGAATGAAGAGCTCCTGTGGCCGATTCCAGCAGCCCTGGCAGCTTTTCTCACCTCGTAGGCACGTTATGGCTTTCATGTTTTGGGAGCAGATTCCTACCACTTATAACCACTCTGTCCTCCAGCCTGGGTGCATGTCGTGGTGTTTGTGAGTATAGGAGATCCAAAAACAATGTAACTCTCCTAAATCCCTGCTTGCTCTCTTTAGGAGCAGTTCATGCGGGATGAAGTCGTGGCAGAACCTTTGGCAAACAAGGAATTGGTCAAGTGCTGATGAATGCATCGTGGACTGTGCTGCTTTGGGATGAGAAAGCATGGGGATGGTGACTGCAGAAAGAGTTGTGGTTCTCCTTCTGGAAGTGCTTGCTGCTGTTGGATACAAGTGCAATAATTGTCTGTGTCCTTAACATGAATGAGAGTTTGCTGGGACATCAAACACATGAATGTGTTTTGTTCCAAAGGGATATACTTGAAAAAAAAAGTTGCTCTATGTATTCCAGAAGGCTTGAGGATTATGATCCTGATTTACCACAGGTCAATACAAAGAAGAGTGTGGAGTTGAGAAATTAGAGCATTTAGTCTAGCAGTGGCTTCTTAGCCTGTGGAGAAAAACAGGCTTTATGAGGGTATACACGAGTGTGAAATGGCTCAGAGAGCTGAAATGTTGGGAGGCAAGATTTAAGAGTCCATAGGACACAGTGCCATACAGAATTGATACAGTGCAGCTTCTCCCAGGATGTGGCATTGTGTACTTCCAGCCCATACTGAATATGGGGAGAAAACAAGAGATCAGAGCCAACATTTACCCAGTGTTGGTAAATTGTCTTTACTCCTGTAAGCACAGGGAAGGTGTGCAAGTTGTCTGTGTATCTGCAGTGGGGACAGCACTTGAGTTGGGGCAGATTTTTTTCTTAAATTGCTTCTAAAGTTGCTTTGAAAGAACTTTGGTAGTTGTTATCAAATGATTCTGCCATAATAATGATACACTTTTGAGGGTGTTGTGTGAAATGGAGTCAACCTGTTTTTACCCTTGCTACTAACGTGCAGATGGACTGGAACTCGAAGTGGGTTGTATTTTACCCCTATATTGTCAACAACTTTGTGATTTGACTGTTTCAGTAGATATGAAATGGGCTGCAGTTCTTTGTGCCATTTGTAGTAAATTTCTCAGCCTTTCTTTATTAGATTCTGTCACTTCCTGGATACGAGATGGATGCACTTCACTTAATTAATAAAGTTAATTAAATTAATAAAATGCCTTTATTAATTAATAAATTACTCCATTACACATTACATACTCCACA